TATATCAATAACTGCATTCGTATGATTCTCGGTTGCAGGACAGTGAAAGGAATTTAAAGGAGCAATTGGCTGCCGCACAGCACCTCGCAGATCGTTATCAGACCGAGCTGTCCGGTGAGCGATTGTACAGGTTTGTTGTTTTTTGTTTATTGTTTGTGAGATTATTCAAAAGCCAATTCAAGGAATGAACTCGAGTCGAAGATGAGCAGTGTGTGCAGTGATACAGAGAAAGAGGCGAGGTTAGCGATGGACGGCAATCAGAAAACATCTGAAGCGTTGGAAAATTTAGAGAAAAAGTTAGTGAGTTGGTTCTTGAGGAAATTTATTCCATTTTTTAATTGTTTATTAATATATTTCATTCATTATTCCATGCTTGGAATGGTGCTTTAAAAATTTTAATTTGTTCTCCTTTTTTTGCATTTCATTCGAAGATTGTAATTCAGGTATGAGAGGTTGAAACAGGAGCAATCGAGAAAAGTGCATTTGCTGAAAGATCGTTTGCGAGAAATTAATGACCAAATGGTCAAATTGAATCAACGTTATCTTGTTAGTGTTGATCATTATTATGTTTAATTTTAATTATTACTATTAATAATGATTATTGATGTTATATCATTTGATTTTATTTCAGAATTTATTAGGTACTAATCGAAAATGCGCTGCCGAAATGCAAGCACAAGCCATTGAGTTGCCCTCAGACGTGGATCAACTGCAGTTTGTGTGCTTACAACTAAAGGAGGAACTCATTGAAACGAGAGCAGCCAGGGAGCATATGGTCTGTTTAATATCACTTCCATTTTTGTTATTATTACCATTGTTGTATTTTAGGAAAGAGCACTATGTGATGAAATTACAACGTTGAAAGAGCAGAGAAGAGAGGATGAACTCGAGAAAAAACGTCTAGAGGCAGCGTTAACCGAACAGGTCAACGGTGTCAGTCAACAACTGGGACTGGCCAGGAGTGAGGTATTGTCTCGAATGTCTCTTTTTGCTTTGTTGTTGTTATTTTTATTGTTGTTTTGTTGGTATCGTAATTATCGTTTCACAAATAACAATAGCAATTCAGTTGGTAACACTACAAGATGCATCACATAAAATGGAAGAAATGGATAAAAGAATAGTGGAGTATCAGAATGTAATCGAAGATTTGGAGAAACAAGTCAAGTCAACACATAAAGAACGAATTGATCTCGAAATGACACTGAACGCGTATAAACAAAAGTGAGTTGGTCTGTGAAATTACCGTTCCGTTTCGTTTTTTTAAGGGTAAGGGGTAGGGAAGTTGGGTTTTACTTTTTGGAAGATTTGGGTGTATTCTGGGAAAGAGAATTGTTTTGAAAATTGAAATTTCGATTGGTTATTTTCTGTTGTTTGTTTCAGATGTACAGCACTGCAACAAGAGTTGGATACGTCGGAAACGGTGCAGAAAGATTTCGTGAAACTTTCACAGAATCTGCAAATTGAACTGGAGAAAATTCGACAAGCTGAACAGGTTGTTATTGTGGATTGTTAAGGGTGATTGTTATTATTGTGATTTTTGAGGAGGTGCGTTGGCAGTTCAACGAAGATGTGCACATGTGCAATCAGTGCCATACGAATTTCACAAAAAATGCATCGAAGTTACACTGTCAACACTGCGGCAAAATATTTTGTGCGCAGTGCCTGAATTGTAAGGTGCCAGCAGGGGCACACGGCCGACTCGCGAAAGTGTGCAAAGTTTGTCACACTCTCCTTATCAGGTGGGTAGCTTACTTTATGAATATCGCAAGAACACCTTGGTGTATGAATTTGTGGGTTTTCAGTGATTATAATTATTGTTAGTATTATATTATTAGTATTCTTATTGTTAACAATAATAAGAATTTGTTGTTGAAAGTTGTGATAAATTTTTATGGTGTATTTTTCAGAGATTCAGCTCCGTTTTTTTCACAGTCCGATGAGCAACCGCCGTGAAGAAGACGAGGAAAATAAGATGAAATGTTACGAAGAGAATGTTTTTAAGCACTACTATTATCATTTCATTACTGTTGGTATTATTGCGAAACGCGCGCAAATGTGATCTGTTTTCATCTATGTCGCTTATTATTAGACGAATCAAATGTAAAATAATTTTACTAATAAATTCAAATGACTATGAAAGAGGAAAGGAACAATTGCAGTCACTGTATTAAAGTATTGTAGTGTATTATTACGTATGAAGATGAATGAATGTGTATTGTCGAATAAAATTATTGTTATCGTATTCGTTTTGGTTAGACACACGAAACAATTGAATGAGGAAAGCAATTGTTAGTTAGTCTCATTGGGAAACAATAAGAGAGTTACTTACTGCTCTTAGGGGGAGTTTTTGAATAGTTCAGTCGCAATATCATAGACACTACAACATGGATTGAGGAACGTGGAATACGAATGCATTGGACGAAAATAGCTAGAATCAGTGGCGTAGCCAGAGAGTAGCAAGTCTCTTCCCCATCTCCTCCCCTCCACCTTAGTTACGCCCCAGGGTAGATTCATGAATGGAAACGGAGAAATTGAAGTATTGAGTACGTAGAGCTCTCTCTCTCTCTGTTCGAGAACGGGTTCGCCAAATTCTCGGGTTTTATGAAGTGAATTTTCATTCGTTGTTGATTCTTCAACAGTCAATGTTGAACTCGCATTCTCTTACAAACCGTAATAGACTGTTCGAATGAGGAATAGCAGAAGAAAGGCACCTGTGCAAATTCAGCTATATGCGCACGAATCCTGGTAATTTATAGTGAACATAAGAATAAACACGAAATGAATACAGCACTCGTGATAATTTCAATAGTGCATCAAGGAAAGTAGCCAGCACATAAGAGACACCTTCAAAAACGCAGCAATACCAATGGAAATGACCATAATTACTGACAACATATACACCGTCTTATAACTAAAGAATCTCATGAAGATGATTTCGAAAGGAACTCGTGAGTCGCGTAGGTTTGAAGGAATCAAACCTATATTTCTATAGTTATGCATAGTATCTATTGATCTATAGTGATCAAATGCATATCAATGAGCACTTCAGCGCTAG